TTTTTTTTTTTTTTTTTTATATATATATATATATATATATATATATATATATATATATATATATATATATATATATATATATATATAATATCTCCTTGCAAGTCCATTTTGACCTATCATGCCATGGTTTGACCACCATCAATTCATTTTTCATGCAGATTTGTTCTCAGAACCCACATTTCAAGAACCAATAATAAATATTCTGACTAAACAACTCTGTTAGATACAGAGTTTAACATAAGCTTATGTCAAAATGGCCATGACAATATACTTAGCCATTCACTAAAAATCATGGCTTGACTACAATATAATCCAATCTCTTTGACTCTTCATGCCCACAGCTAATTCACCTCCAACCAACTCTCATGTTCTTCATCTTACAGTCTATGTTTGTTACATGTATAATATCCTCATCTCTCTCAAGTATATCTCTGTATGAAATGCTGGATGTGGAAGAAGAAGCTTCCAACCTTTGCGGTGCTGCATTGAAGCTTGTAGCTGGCCATCACCGATCAGGACCGAGGGAAGAACGCGGTGGCCACCCATGACACTGCCTTCCACCTTCCATTGACATTTCACTTGTCTTTAGCTCACTCCTCCAGCTGTGATAGCCCATTTTGGCCACTCCTTCCACCCTAGTGTTCCTCAACATGCAAAGCATCTCCTTTTTCCTTCACTACCAAACTTACTATTTGTCCCCTTTCTTTTCTGTGTTAACTCAGATGGTTGGTGTGACAACATGCAAAGCAAGCTTCCTTCTTTGAAGCCATGCAAAGAGAGATCCATTAGTTAATTACCTTTTATTTTCTTTAATGTACCGGCCGAGACAGGAAACATGATTTGTTCCACTCGTAACGAAACATGTCACCGCCACAAACACCGTGTGGGCGAGGAAGTCATGTCCGCTGTGTGAGTCAAAACAGGCGCTCTGCATCCAGGAGTGCCCGTCGCAGACCATCATCTTCATCTTCATGTCACCGTCTTCCTTCTCCGTTCATTGATTCCTTGCAGTGTCTCCTCGTGACTCAGTCAAGACTGGCAACACAGCACGCCTTAACAAAGTAATATCGCCTCTCACATCACATCATACTGGTTAGAAAAGTAAACGAGGTAGGCAGAAGTAAACGGTGATGGCGAAGGTCTGCAGTCGACTTGATCAGCCTCCATTGGCTCCTCACCGAGGCCATGTTCGGTGTATCTTCTTCCTTCCACCAGGAGAAGAGAAAGAGAAAGAAGACAGGATGCATGTGGTTGGTTTAGGTTGATTTGTACAGTGAATCATTGGAAACAGATGCACCTCCTCGCACAGCCATCCTCTCCTGACCAAGTCCAAGTTAGGCATGTCTTCTTCCTCCCACCATGAGAACAGATGGAGAAATAGTAGGAGATGAGGCTGTGGTTGTTCCTTTTACAAGGCAAATACAGTGACAATATAATTATAATTTCGTCTACTTTAATATTAAACAATTCATATAGAAATCGTGGAGGATATGCAACAATAATAATTGTATTAAACATTTTGTATAGAAATTATGGAGATGAGAAACATTAATATGGAATCTTAAGCGGAAGGAAACATGCAACATATTTTTCCCCCAAACTTGCCCAATAAATAACATTTGTCTTCGTTCGCCCACCGCACTTCCCGGAGGGCGTCCTGTACGGACCTTACGTGTGACTAAAGTCGCGACCCATAGTGCATTCTCCTGGACTCACCACTTACCTCTCGCGAAACGACTCTCCTAATAATCGTAGCCTGAGTCGTGACATTCAAGAAGACGCCTCTGTCGGTCCATCTATTTCGTCGTGGTCTCTCTCCTCGCCGCACGGATCGGCGATCGATTCGCCTCCGATGGTCCCGCACGTGCCGACACATGCCCAGCGGTTTATATAACCCGATCGAGAGTGAGATCACTTCGATCCCAAAGGGCAAGGGAGGATAAAAAACGCATCTTTTTCCTCTTCTGTGAGTTTCCTCCTTGTGCTTCTTGGATCGAGATCGATTGATTAGATCTGATAGGAGAAGGGGGAGAGGAGAGAGATGGCGGGGAAGGAATCGTCGTCGGTCCCGAGCACGCCTCTGCTGAAGGATGAACTCGACATCGTGATCCCGACGATACGTAACCTGGATTTCTTGGAGATGTGGCGGCCCTTCTTCCAGCCGTACCACCTCATCATCGTGCAGGACGGGGACCCGAGCAAGGAGATTAAGGTGCCGGAGGGGTTCGACTACGAGCTCTACAACCGCAACGACATCAACCGCATCTTGGGGCCCAAGGCTAACTGCATCTCCTTCAAGGACTCCGCCTGCCGCTGCTTCGGCTACATGGTGTCCAAGAAGAAGTACATCTACACCATCGACGACGACTGCTTCGTAAGTCATCGTTAAATCCATCAGGAAACAACTCTTCTTATCTTCTTTTTACAGATCTGGACTTTGCGAGTCGTTCTCTTAAGAGATTTAGGCGTCCGTGAAAGAACGGCGAGATTTTAAACTTAGCTTGCGCACTTACAATTTCATTCAAGTATACAAATTTGGCTTTTTTGACTCAGAACCCGCTATGCACTGAATTATATGGCTGTGTTTTGGATAGATCTGACCATCTGCAGTTGATTTATCAGAATCTCCGAGAGGAGGATGTGTCGGTGTTCAGCATTGACCTCAACTTTGAAATGCATAACCCAAAATAGATCTAGTTATTAGCGTAGTGATACAATAGCATATGGATCTGGGTATATTAGTGTGGAAAAGTTAATGTGAGATATCCAATAGTTGTTTTATTTACACTCTCTTGATATATTTTAGTTTCATGTATATATCATCTTAAGACTGTTGATCCTTCTTTGATCTTTTCTTTTCACCATTCCATGTGGGTTGTAGCAGGTTTTACTTGCTTGATTTATACCACTGGTATTCCGGCAAAATTACTTTCAATTTATTAGTATAGCTCATGGACTTTGATTTTCTTTGTCTCATGTAATCATTTCCTTTGCACAGTTTGTAATCAAATGTTATAATCATCATCTGTTTCTTAGGCTTCAGGTATCAGATGATCTTTCAAGCCTCTAGTTGTCATCTTTTTAATTTTACAATTGGCCACTCAGATACCAATGTGATATGTGAAATAAGAAACAGATAATCTTTTTTAATTTTACAATTGGCCTCTGGAGAACATGATAATAAGGTTCTCTTCTACATGCCTTCCCTGGTTTGTGCTCAGGTTGGTGAAATTGAGCACATCTGATATTTTTGTGTCATAATAATACAATTAGCAGGTGTTTTATGCATGAAAAGTTTGGATTGTTTTTGAAAGATCTGACCTCTTCGTGTTCTTTAGTTGCTTTTGCTTCTGCATTTGAGCTCCCATGGTCCTAAATCACTGTCAATTGTCATCTTAAATAGGTTGCTAAGGATCCCTCTGACAAAGAGATCAATGCACTTGAACAGCACATCAAGAATCTGCTATCCCCATCCACTCCATACTTCTTCAACACCTTGTATGATCCCTACCGAGTAGGTGCAGACTTTGTTCGTGGGTATCCTTTCAGCCTCCGAGAAGGTGCTCCGACAGCTGTTTCTCATGGCCTTTGGCTTAACATTCCTGACTATGATGCTCCCACGCAGCTTGTCAAGCCTCGTGAGAGGAACTCCAGGTAACAAATGCTGTGATATCTGTGGTTACTAGACTTAAAGACTCTACATTTTTACCACAAACTTAGTCTGCAACTGCTGTCTTGGGTTTATCAGGTATGTCGATGCAGTTCTTACAATCCCCAAGGGAACATTGTTTCCAATGTGCGGAATGAATCTGGCCTTCGACCGTGACCTCATCGGCCCTGCAATGTACTTTGGACTGATGGGTGATGGCCAGCCTATCGGGCGCTACGACGATATGTGGGCCGGATGGTGCACCAAGGTCAGTCTCTCCGCTCAAATTCATCCTTCTAATCTGTTATAAAGCACAGATCAATTGTCATCTTGTACTCTCAGATCAACAATTTTCCTTTCTGTTTTCTTCTTCTGGTACACTCGGTTTCTCTTCTTTCCTTCATGCTTTATGCTGCTCTGAAGCATCATATATCAGTTTTCAGCATTTCTCAGTTCTGATTTCTCTTTATACAAGTGAAGATCTCTCTCTTATTGTGCTCAGGAACTGCAATTATTCAAGCAGTCCAAATGACATCTAAATCCATGAATTTTCAGGTGATCTGTGATCACTTGGGACTGGGAGTCAAGACTGGCTTGCCCTACATCTGGCACAGCAAGGCCAGCAACCCATTTGTCAACCTGAAGAAAGAGTACAAGGGGATCTTCTGGCAAGAGGAGCTGATCCCCTTCTTCCAATCTGTTGCCCTGCCCAAGGACTGCACCAGTGTGCAGAAGTGCTACATTGAGCTGTCCAAGCAGGTAAGAGAAAAGCTCGGGAAGATCGACCCCTACTTCACCAAGCTTGCAGATGCAATGGTTACATGGATTGAGGCTTGGGATGAGCTCAACCCATCCGGAGCTGCTGCCGGAGTGGCCAACGGCACGGCCAAGTGAAAGTAGAATAGCAAGCTAGCCATATATCATATGTTTGCTTTCTCAGTAGTAGTGTCATGGATTTATGCTTATTAGATGTGAGTCTAATTTATACAATTTTCCTCCCCTTAATTATATTTTGGGCTTTCATGCCAAGCTTGAGATACATTCTTGCTGTTGGGTGATTGTAATCTTTTTCATACTTGATTTGACAATAAAAAGATCTATATTGCTTTTGGAAGCAGTTGGGCGTCGCTTCAGCATCATGGTACCCCTATGAGTTTTCTTTTATCACATGCACAACTTGGTACAACAAATATGATCTCAAACATTTTAGGTGGAATAAATCTAATCGAGTTAACATACCCATCTCTTTGTTCCCATTTCAACTTAGCCCATTGTTAGATAAATACCAGTGGCAACGAGTATGTATGAGCTCAATCCCCAATAATTTCACCAAATATCTTTCTGTGATGCATACAAGTTTGACTGAGTATATTGGGCAGCATGAAACGTCCAACTATTTCAACATCTTAGATCCTGACAAAACAAGACAGTCATACAACATTCTTCGGTTGTCATCTTGATCATACAGCCAAAATTAATCATCTCAGCACTCTGGCACAAGCAAGAAGGTCGAGTGTCATACTCCAAATTCAGGCCACATCATGCCACCCATCACAGTAAGTTGTTGAATTTCAAAAAAACACAACAGATTAAAAAAAAATTTGGATTATTTGATTGTTGAAGTTTTGACATATAAAGATGCTTCGGGATTTCATAATAAGCGTAATACATTCGTAGAAAACTAAACTATTTCAGTGCAATTGAATTGCAGAGAAACCAAAAAGATACACAACTGATTTGCTACTGTCAAAACTTGTAATTTCAGCTCAGCAAGATTTCCCCCTCTTCTGTGAGATTTCATGTTTCAAAGCTTTCCAACATGAGATTCACCAAGACACTTCCGGTCGCAGGGCTTTGTTGAAGAACCGAAGTAAAAAAAAGGGAGAGAAATGCAAACGTGTCACCAAAACGAAGACAACAAAGGCATGACACCTGGGCTATGTTGAAGAAGACGGTGTTGTTGGAATGCATAAGGATCTCGGCCTCCCCTTCCTTGATGATCCTGTAGTTCCGGAGCTCATCCGTGACGTCGCCCATGTCCGCCAGCCACAATCTATCGACAGCGATCGGAGGAGAATCAGGTTCAATCTCGATGAGATGAACTCGATTCCTGGAGGAATCAGGAGGCTCCTCTTCGGATGGAGAGGCGGCAAACCGTCCTTAAACCCAAAACTGAGTGCGAACGCTCCTTCTCCCTCGACCATCGAAATAATAATAAAAAGGATACGATACGTTCATTCCCAGCCAGAGATCAAAAATAAAAAGTGGGTCCCATAGCTTGTGTCCAATCTTAAATCAGGTGGAGAAAAGGGTGAGCCATAAGCCATCTTCCACCTCAAGTATTGTTTTTTATTTATTTATTTATTTTAATATGTACTCTCAAAAATATATGTTTACATATAAACACCTTCACAATGTAGCATATTAGAAATCCAATTAGGAGCACTTTTGATCTTATAATAAATAATACTTATGTGATTGATTGGATCAACTGAGCATCTAACTCAAGTTAAGGTGATGATCATTGGCACTATGTGCAAATAAACTATCATCCTTCATTATAGTTTTCCTATATGAAAAGAAAACACAATAATTGATATTTTATTGGTATATGAAAATAAAAGAAATTATATTATTTTGTGGGTGTAACAAAGAAAACAATGAAATATTCCTTCATTTAATGCTGTTATTCTATTTTGCTGATGAAGGTGGTTGGTAAAGTAGCCACAACACACACTTCGTTTGACATCCTCATGCACGGCTGCTTGCCAGTTTGTAATGTAAGTAGAGAGAAATGGCAAACAACAGTCGTTCATGGCTCTGAGATTTTGATCGTGGGAGAGAATTGAAGTGAAGATTAAACCATATTATGTTCCTAATGCAGATGGAAACTAATAAATATTGCCTAGTTTACAATCAAATCCCAGTAAATATAACCAGTTAACTAATCTGAAGTCACACATTATCAGAAAGAGACTACCTACACCTCGGACATAAATACATGGGTATATAACTAAGAGTAGAACAGAGGTCCAGCATCAAAGAAGGTGCATTAAAATTCATGCCGAACTGAACTGCAGAGAAGGATATCAAAGTGACCTAACCTAAAAGCCAACCAACCAACCGGCAAGTCCCATCTACATGCCAGGTCCACTTGAATCAAGCTTCCACCTTTTTGCCTGTAGGTTCTGGATTTTCTTCCTTTTCGGCATCCTCTTCATCTTCGTCGTCCTCGTCTTCTTCAGCCTCTGCTAGTTTAGTCAGCTCTTCTTGGATCAGGAGCTTTATAGAGGCTTTTCTTGGCGTCAGATCCAGTTTGTAGTGGCCGGCTGATAGGTGAATTGTGTATGGTATGAACATGGAGAAAAGTTTGAGGAAGGAAACAAAATATAATTCAGAAAGCGCATACCTAGTTGCTTCAAAATGTCGGTAAAAGTTGCCTGAATCAAAATAGGAGGATACAAGTTAGTTCTTCAACAAATAACAAGACCACTAAAAATCATCAAATTCGGTAGAAAATGGATAAGTAGGACCACGTTTGATTGCTGCAACGTTGAATATAACAACAGCATGATCAACTCTAAGCGGGTATTAGCCATGGGCTAATGCTGCACACTATTTGTATAGGACATATTTTGTGTTGCAATGCAGAAAAAACTACATGAAACGACTCATTCTGGTCATCGGTGACAGAGGCCAACACTTAGGAGAGTGCTTAAGTCATCCCTAAAACAATCACAGGCTGGAAGATTACAGCTTCCCTAGTACTGCCTCAAAGCCTATCCTAAGGTACATCTCGAAGTCATCTAGCAAATAACTTTTCTTATTGTTGGAATATTTTACAGAAAATTTATCATATCACCTAAAAGTCCGTACGTACGATAGATAGTGTGATCCAGGGAGGACCAATGTACATAATAGTTTTAAGACACTTACGGAAAAGATTCATATGTCAAACATATTGTAAAGTAGTGGCTCACCGTGTTAAAGTCAACTTCCTTCAAAATTTCACATATTTTCTTTCTCAGTTCCTCTTTGCTTGGATGCTCTGCCTCTGATTTTGCTTTACCTTTAGCAACCTTTTTGCCTTGATCAAAAGCAAATAATCTTTGCATCAAAATAAACGTAAAAAATGGAACTTATGTATGGCCTCAAAAAACAAAACAATAACACAAATTAGAAGCTCAAACAGCAATATGATCAGAAAGATGATCCAGTTAGAAATTCTGGAAACAAGTCAAGAGCTATAAGTAAATTCCTGCCACATCAAATGACAGAGTTACTAGGTATTAGAAAAAGAAAAGTATCAAAAGAATACTAGTTCGAAATTAAATTTTACAAGTAAAAATAATATAACACACCGTCAGTTACCAAACTAACCAGAAATTTGATGATTAAAAACTCCAAAATCAAAGAATCTAAAAAACTCACCACCAATGGACAAAACCTAGAGAAAGAACTCCTAGATTACATGTAGAGTTACTTCTGAGCTCGAATAATGAATGATATCTTAAACATCGGTCTCACGAGGTTGCTTTAATCAATCACATCTACTGACATAAATAGCAACATCTACTGACTTTTAGTTAAGCATTAAGGTCAAAATTAGCTTCTGGTGAAAAACTGTCTTTTAGATTTATAGTCAGATAACTAGCCTAGGAGAAAATTTTGTCAAACAAATGGAATAGTGCTTACGTGCCCATATGGAAAAGGTCATCCAACTAATCCAAGAGCATTGGAACCATGGGAAGACATCATATTAAGCAGATACCATAAGCAACTCACAAAAATATGTAATAAATTATGAAGAGTTCATGATTGAGAGATTACCAGTATCCTTTTCTTTTTTTTCTGACCTAGGAGTTGATTTCCTCTGAGGTGAACTGACAGTTCTCCTCTTCCTGGAGAAAACCTTTGCACCTATGTCATCATTCTCAGCTTTTGAGTGTTTTGAAGATGATGATTTAGTAGGACTCTTCGTAGTTGCTGGAGTTGGAACCTTCCTGGAGCTGCTCCCCACCTTCTTTTCCTTACCAACAGAACCTTGTTTGGGGGTCTTCTTCTTATCCTGCTTGTCCTCGCCTGAGTCCTCTTCATCACGTTCATCTTCGTCAGATGCTTCTTCAGACTCACTTACCTTACATTCATTCTCAGAATGCTTGCCTATTTTGCCAGTGTAAGGACCATTCTTAATGTCATCCACATCATCATCTTCACTATCCGTTTCTTCTGCACTCGGTGTGCCCTCACGCCTGGTCCGTTTCTGAATATCAAAATTGGAAAAAAAAAATGTGCTAAACTTTTTAGTCACAACAGATAACAAAAATAAATGGGCCAACAAGAACTAAGATAAATTATATAAATATTAAACAATGCAGAAAGAGCAGCACAGGATAACTCAGTGTCAACTCTGGAATTTGTTTCTTTTGATACCAACCTTCCTAGATTGCTTGCTGTGTGTATCTTCCGTACTCTTTGATCCACTTCCTTTGGCCACCCTCTTCCGCTTTCTAGATTTCATTGATTGCTACAAAATGAAGGGAAAAAAGATAAACATGTGCAATTGAACTAAAACATAACGATTCAGCAGTTAGGCATATATGATAGCAATGTGGTAAAAAATACACAAGAATCTAATATTGCAGTCTCTTTGTGCATGAACAGCATCAACATGAGCATCCAATGTCAAAACCACTTCAAAAGAACTTTACTGAAAAAAAAAAAATCCAGCACAGCGGTAAAGGTAAACCTTGTCATCAGAAAGTACGTCTTCATCTATAGGATGAGGGGCAACCAAGAAGTCCAGCAGCTTTGCCACAAGGTCTTCCTGTTATACATCAACCAAATTATCAATATAACATGATCAGAAAAAGAATTGCAAGAAAAGTCATTCCGACCACCACGAACAACAAATGTATATTACAAACTTGAAAGTGAAAAATCCATGAATGAACCTTTCTGGTGTTGGCCTTGGAAACAGGTAAATCAAACAAGTCACACAGGTCCAGCAGAGTATCCTTTACATACTTGTCAAGTTTCTCCTTCATTTTAGCTCTCTGTTTTTCCTGGATGAAATAAAATTTTAGATTACAAAGAAAAAAGGGAAAAATAACAGTGACTTATTCCTGCTCAGGTATTATCAGAATACTCACATCACTTTCATGCCACACAAACCCAGAAAACTGGAGAATATGACTTTTGAAATTCACAGCCTGCTCAAAAAACACAACAATAATCATTTAATACATAATAGATAATAGAGGTGCTGTCATGATATTCTCCAAAATTATAAATACAGAAAAACAGAGATTACTCAGAAACTATAGTGAAACAGTCTAAACTTTTAAAGACTGGGGGAGGTAATCAGACTTACAGCCTTCTTTTAAAGAAGTTTTTTTACTTAAAAACAGGAAACAAAATGCCGAATTCATATGAAATCCGAAAAAAATACAAAAACATAAACTCCCATAATATGGATCACTCAATTACTTGCATAAGCATTAGCACTGCAGAAAAATCCCAAGATAACAATTTGTAGTCCTAAGAGAAGAGGCACTTGATTCATCCAGGTCTCTTGTACTTAGAGATTAAGTAATCCCTGATAGTCACTAACACCTTTTTTTAAAGTGGATTAATCATGACAGTATTGTCATCATCATCCAGGCCAATAAGCAACCGAAAAGAAAATGATGTTTATAAGGTAATATTCAAAATTTTGATATTGCAATCATCCTTTCTATAGGACTACTTGTATATAAAATCAATGTATCTGCTCTTCAACCAACTAGTATATATGGTAGATTCAATGGGCATCCCAGCTGAAGAGACAGCATATTCTGCTCTCTAACCAATGGGCATCACCGGTGACATGATGAAATATTGGCACCTAATCCATTGTTATGAACATGAATAAGCTATTTAGTTTCGAAACAGCATATACATGTTCTGACCTTAAAAACACCTAGCAAGCACCACAATAATGTTAACAAAAAAGTCCTTAAGTTTATGCCGAGTAAAAATATTAATTAGCAACTCATGGTAAATATTAAAAAAAATCACCTTGGATGCACTTCAAAAAACATACTTTCTCATCATTATACAACTAAATAAACTGTTACAAAGTAACGAGAGATCACATGGTGTTAGTGATAAAACATTTTTCATCAATTAGCTGCAAGGTCATGAGAGATTCTAGATACGCCTGACATCGTAAGATTCCGATCAAGATTAATCTGATACCGGTATCAACGCCTTGTCAGACCAATATGGTACCAATTTATTGAATGGTATACCAACTTAACTATCTGATATCACTAAAAAATAATAATAAATAAATCATCATTGGTGAAAAGCTATATGGGCTGCAACTGGTCCTTGGTCGGATTAGTAAATACCATTCAGTACCATAATAACAGTCCAACCCATAATTGAATCTGATTTTGATTACTTAGACTTAAAAAGCCAGGAGAGAATGGTGATAAGTATACTAGAAATAGAGGGGAGGCAGGCACAAATATAAAGACAAATGATAGCAGTATATGCAATCAAGAATCTATCCTATTCTGTATATTAAGTGTATACCATAAGTTCTCGAACCACTTCTCCAGGATTCCTCAAGTACACACGAGATAATAACACAATGATTCTTACAACTTTCAGATTTATAAACTGACTTCTATATGTACAAATACAACCAGATCCAAGCTGCAGACTGAAAAGTGAAGACTCCCTGGTTTATAAGATCCACAAAATCCACAATGGTTCCAATGAACCAATAAAAGATTGTTGTCCAACAACAATCCACATAAATTATGATTTCTTAAGTGGTTAGCAAAATTCAGAAAGAAAATTCAACTATAAACAAAAGTACAAACCTATCTTTCATTTGAGAACTATCATGGTTTTGAGCAATTAGCAAGAAAATGAAATTAGTCGCTCTTGTTGGTATACAGTCTTAGCTACTACTCGAGCAGAAGAATTGCACCAACCCTGGACCAACAGTAACAAAAACAGTGACAACATAATAATTAAGACTTAAGAGAATAACAATTATACACAAAAATCATCTGCACCAACACTGGACCAACAGCAACAAGAGCAGGTAACAAAATAATTAAGATAACTGTAGACAAATACATATCTTTCACCTATGAACCATCATAATTTTGAGCAATTAGCGAGAGCATGTAATTAGTCAACCTAGTTGGCATACAGCCCTAGCTACTATTCAAACAGAAAAGTTGCACAACCACTGGACCAACAGTAACAGAAACAGTATTGTCCTATATCATTAAACAAACAAGAAACATTGAAAACTCAATGTAAAGCTGGAGAACAAATTTATGTAGCATCTTAATCCACCTTTCCTCTCCTTCCAAAAAGAGTCTGATGAATCAATTTTATATCCGCAGGTTTCTTCCTTGCTAGTTTGTAGGCCACTGGAACAAAAATTGAGAAGTATATTAAAATCATATTTAGAAAAGGTGTTATAATGTAGAACCAATAGGAAGAGGGGAAGCCAAAACACAAATAGAAAAAAAGGATACGAGAAGAAAGGAGAAAAGATTTATGAGAACATTAACATTAAAATTATCATTCCTCCTGAATTACGTTGGAAAGCCACCAATCATAGGCACAAGTCAACATAATCCCAACTAAAACCAGACTAACATCAAGTCAACCACAAGTTCCAAGACAATAACTTACCCACAACTCCAACTTAAGTTCCTAAACAATAACTCAACCCACAAACCCAACAAGTCAAACACAAGTTCCAAGATCAAGAACAGTAACTCAACATATAGCAAGTATGAGACCAACACAGATTATGGAAAAGACTTATTCCGTAGTCCACATGACTTGCATCTTGGACAAGTCCTTTTAAAACCTTAGTTGGATCTCCATTACTAAATAAGGAAAAGAAATTTTCGAGATTATAAAAATAAAATATAGCTTTAAGTTAAACATCGTGTAAATCACCAATGCAACACCAAGAACAAAGATGAAGAGTAACAACAGTTTACGCATTAGAATAAAGACCAAGTAACAGCAGCAGCAGCAAAAGAAATTTTCAACTATTTGGGTCCAGCAGCATGGATTCATTTTCGCCACTGACTAAATTGAAATTAGAGATAGTGAGATACAAATTACAGCTAGGTTTGACAGTGTTGTGCGCTACCAAAAACAACCCTTCTTTTTTAAAGCTTCTGCCTGTGAAAAGGATTTCACAATATTCAGCATATTTTAGTTTCGCATATACTGAGACCTCGAGACTTCATAACATGAAGCAGGTATTATGAGAATGTGGGTAGATATATCTGGAACATGCACTAAATATTTAAGAATCGGTTTCCTTCTGAAAATAGTTTGTATATAGTATATACAGTCAAGTCATGGGCTTCTAACCTAAACTTGTGATGAAATTATGAAAATATAGATAAATTGCCCTAAATGTGGTATTGCCCATATCATACTGCAAGTTGTGCAGGTCTTAGCATTGTCTAAATCAGTCTTATACGAGCTTAGTTTTCTTTTTTAAGTTAAAAGGAGCCTTACAGAATCCAGTCATCAAAGGTCTTACAGAATACAGAGTTCTTCCTATAGTTCTTTCAAGCATTTAGGTCATTTGTCGAGCTGTGCGGATGTTAGTATAGCCTAAATCATTCCCATCTTAACTATGTTTTGGAAACTTATGGAAGCATTTGGGTGCTCACTAAATGGTTCTTTATAGAGTCTAGAGGGCCTTCCTCCGTTTCCTTTTACTTGGCTAGCACTTATTCTTTCTATTTGTTTCTTTGGGGCATGCTATGCACTTCTAGAAATCGTCAATAGTGACCTTTATATCTAGGCATCGCCTACTTGGCCACTTCCCTTTTTAGCTTACCTGGATCCAACTTGAAATCTTTCTTTCAAGATCCATTCTTGACAAAGACAAGCCATAGCTTGAAAAGACAACCATTATCTCTAGGATCAACACAACTTATCTAATTCAAGATCAGCTATTTGTTGCATAATTGAAAAAGTCAATTGGATCAAGTTAGGACCAGATGTGGCTTATAAGATGTGATCATTAACAGAAACAGAGAACTCTCTTGTAGTGAGATATTTTCGTCTTCCCAGGAGATTTCTTCTAGCTTGTAGCTTTTTCTTCCTGGTCCAACTTCTAATTACTCTCTTCATTCCAGATAAAATTACTTGAGAGCCATCATAAATTGTTTACTGCCTAAAGGTGCCGAGGATTACAGACAGCTTGTTCAACTTCAATTTGAGTTGATGGTGAAATCAGGGCATGAAAACATTATCAAAGCAATGGTTTCACTGCTTCACATCCCAATTTGGTTTCTTGATGCACATTATCAAATATTAATTCCTAGATCTGTGAACTAATCTGTATTAAAGGATTTGGACTACTGCAACATGTCAACTTGCTGAGCTTTATTTTTACAGTAGATGTATGTTTTATCCAGCCAAAACGCTCCAAGTTTATTAAGATTTCAGTATACTTGCATGGTTTCCTGTTGTCTCATTAGCATGGTATGCAATACCGTATCATACTGCTCGGTACGGGCAGTACGTACCAACCTAATAAAGGACCGGTATGGGTGGTACATCGGTACACCTTAGTATATCATGTGTCGATACGTTTGGTACAGCTCGATATTTATCATACCAACAACTGATCGGTACAGTACGGTATTCAGAACCTTGCTCATTAATACACGCATGAATCCTTGAGTTGGATTGCATGAGTTAGAATATAAGTCATTACAGTTTGCTAAAAGAATTTGCTTTCTAATGTTGTAAGCTGTTTATAAAAAGAAGCAGCACAAGACCATAATTGTTCATCATAAAGCACAACAATGAAATCTATCGGTTCATATCATATATGGCTCACATGAAGAGCATAATGAATAATGTATACATGATGATATACTTTAGCAAGCATAAATCAAAGAGAATAACAGTATGAAGGTATTATTTAGTTTGTACTTTATATCATGGCTTTCATTGCCCACCAAGGCACCAACCCAGTCCCAGTTCAATCAGTTGTTTTAGCTGATTTCTCAAATGTGGCAATCTTCATTGTTGGTCCTTGCTAAAATAAAATTGTCAAATGTTGCCCAAACTGAATCTACTTGGAAGATTCAAGCTCAGACTAGATCAATCCGGAAAATTTATATTAATTTGATATTGATATCACCAATTTGTCTTGAATTAACCATGAACGACACTTCCAGCAGATTCAACATGAAAGGTTTTAGTAAGGGACCAGTCCAATCACTCTTCACTTGATCCTCTTTCCCAAACTTCCTTTTCTTTTCCTATTCGCCAACTTCATCCTCTCTCCCTGATGGATTAACACAAAACCATCTACTAGCATAATATATTTGTTCTTGCACTTGAATTTTCTTTTTTTTAATCTAGAGCTATATGATTATGGAAGACCGTCCCCCTTCCAATTTTGCTTCTACTGACAAAATGCTCCAAAGTTAAGCCACATGTCTCAACATTTTGTATCTAGACATATCAAAACAGGACACTGATAATTAGCAACATTTAATAGTAAAAAACGCAAAGTTTAGTAGTTATAATACTTGACCAAAATCATGTGTGACATTCTAGAGACCTTCAGATTAGATTTAATGAATTTGTTAGGGCATATTATTTACCTCCAGTTTTAATGTTTTCTAATTCACCCACGAAAAATGTTCTAGCACGGTTACCTATTTAAACTAAAAAACAACCACTCACCTCATTTTTGTTCGTAGACTCTAAATTGTCTTCCCCACCAATGATCACAACCATGGCAACATTGACAGTAATGGCAGTCACAATTGATGGTGGTGAAATGGTGATGGTGGAGGAAACAATGACAACGGCGACCAGAACTACAATGCTGATGGTGTTGTTGTCAATGGTCTATGACAGTGACCATAGTAGTAGCAGTGATGATGTCGTGGTGGTAGCAGTGATGATTGTGATTGTGAGTGAAAATGCTAGCTCAACTAACTAATTGAAGGCTATTAGATATTTGAAAATTGAATAACTAGTTGTCTAAGAAGGTAGTTTTCATTTTCTGATTAGTAAACACATCAAAGTTTTCAGTTTTCTTAACAGAAAATTATAGATCTGAAGAACTTTTTATAAATAAAGACAATTTCTTCTATCTTTATTACACTTCTACTTATGGAATTTAATTAGTTTCATCTGAAAATGTTGATATGACAATTAAAGATAGTCAATATTGATCTTGTAAGAATTCTTCAAATTGCATTCATGTGGATGAAACTTGATTCTACCACTACACACTAGGGGTTTTCAAAAAGGCATAACCTGACTACATGTACAATGGTTGGTTATCAATTGTTGATGCAAAACAAATGAAACTAGAAAAAATAAATTATAATAACTCGACAACCAATCAGCACAGCATTAGACCGCCTGTCCAATATTCAGACTTCCATAGGATCTAAACACCGCTAGCAATTCATGAATCAAGCCCCATTGCAGACAAGCTTTTCAGTATAAATTGAATTACCATGATAAGCAAGAATGTCCAGTCCCCACTGGGAAGATAAACTTGTGTTCAACAAACAAAAATTATCATGAGAGCATGCCACAAATAAGTCCTTCAATTAACACAAGAAAATGCCAGATGCAAAAGAGTGAAGATAAATACTTGAGAAAAAATAAAGTCCTTGACTTGCAAACTACATACAAAATCAACTTAGTTCTAAATATGGCATTATATGATCCATAAAGTGCATCATAAAAGATTTTTGGATTATTTAGCGTACCATTAGGTATGTCCTTCAATGGAGTGCCACGGCCCTGTAACCAGACAGATCTTAGAGAAGATATTATTCATGTAAAATAGTGATGACACTCATATAAACCACAAAAAGCGTGCGAAGTAATCAAATGAAGAATAAAGTACCTTTTCAACTTGAAACTCTCTTGATGGCTCTTTTTCAATAACTTCTACCAACCTCTCTACTGTTTTTCTCTCGCGGACAGGGCGTTCAATAGATGAAGTCACTGGACTACTCAATGAATTTCTGGCCTTTGTCACACCCTCCTTTCCTTCTCCTTTTTTATCAGCCTTTTGCCCCCTTGATCTTTTTTTATTCAACTTTTCCTCTTCCTTGTCCTCATCAATCTTCTTTTCAGTACTTTGAATGTCTCCTTCCTCCATGTTATTTTCTTCCTCCTTTGATCCTTCCTCCCCTTCCCCCTCTTCTCCTTCTTTTCCCACTTTCTCTTCTTTTGCTTCTTGTTCCCCTCCCTCCTCGTCCCCATCTTCTTTTCCTTCTTCATCCTCTTTTGTTTCTTCTTCCCCTCCCTCCTCTTCCTCATCTTCTCCTCCTCCTTCCTCCTCTTTTGCTTCTTTTTCCCCTCCCTCCTCTTCCCTGCCTTCTACTTCTTTCTCATCTTTGAAATCCTCTACATCAACCATCTTTAGATTCTCAAGCTCCATTGCATTCTCAGCTTCTGCGTCAACCATTTTCACATCTTCAGCTTTAATAGTATTCACATCTGCAGTTTCGATGTCTACTTCTTTTGCTATGCCATTTTCTTCACCCTGCTTCTTTTCATCAGAATCCATCATTTCTTCAAGATGCTTCTCTTCTTCAATGCTTTCACCTTCATTTCCATGCTCACCAGAATTGGGCACAACACTCTTATCTTCAGTTGGTGGACCAGACCCATTCATCATTGTGGTTTCTTCCACTTCTTTGTTTTTACCTGCACATTCCTTCTTTTCAGAATCAACCACAACACTAGTCTTACCTTCAGGTGACAAACCAGATCCATTTGCCATTGTGGTTCCCTCCACATCAGATGATGGGTTCTGTTCTGCCATCCCAGGCGGTACAGAAGCTAGGATGTGTACAGAGGTAACTATCGATTCAAATGTGTTTCACACTACACGACCTGGAAACATGCATGACAGAAATTCAGTAGCTATCGAGCTGGAAAAAGTTATAGAGAAATTACATAGAGACAGCTTCTGAAACTACCAATCGACTCAGCTCACTGCAAAGCCTTGATAAAAAATTTCCCATATAGGGCATTTGTACAGGTTATAGGATGAGAGGAGAAAAGGCAAGTTTTATGATGCAGAATAACAAGTAAATCATTAATAGAGTCTTAGTCACCAAGAATCCACAGCAAGATTGCAACTTTAATACAAAGAAGTAAAGCTATCTCAACTGCAAGAAGAAAACCAGCATTAGATATAACAAACTTCGTTAGAGCACAAATAGCAATGAAGCTCCAAAACAGCAACTCGTCGGAACAAATGGAAAAAAAAAAAGAAAACATATATATTACGGAGTTCGAAACGCCTGTTGCTGCACTATTCAGTTTCCAAAAACCAAAAATTAAAGAAATGAAGGGATAGGAAAGAGGAAGATATGGCGGAAGGACATCTTATAGAGAAAGTTTCGAAACCCTAGCTGTATCGATCGAGTTCGCGTGGTTCATAATAACAAGCAATCACGACAAGAACACCAAAAATCTCAACTATAGAGAGATGAAAAACCTTTGGAAGGAGCTACCTGAGGAAGATCTCGGTGCTTTGAGCGATTAAATCTCCGGAATTTGGCAGCCCGGTTTCATACTCGTCCCCCCAGTCCCTCCTTCCCTCTCACTCATACAGAAAATAGTATAATAAGGTGCTCTCTTTTTGTCTTTTGAGAGAATAAATATTAATTTTCGCCTTCGTGTTCGACTCGAAAAGTTCCGGACCTCAAATCCAATCTCAACCGGACTTTATTAGGGCAAGGTTCGGCTGGCCAGACTCCAACAGGGTCCATCTTTGCCTTGCTCATATCCCTCGTTAAACCCACAGCGGACCCCACCTTTCCTTCCAATTACGCTGTGAAGGGGGAAGCTGAACCCTGCCCCGGACCGAACGGCAAGACGAAGCCGGATTTGTTTCGAGTTAGTGGCGCCCACTGATAAAACCCGTTTAAACCAAGCCACGTGTTTGTAGACGTTGACAACACACTGTGGGACAAAAGGCGGGCTTCGGTCCGCAGTACGGTTAGCGTTTCCTTCTTGAGGGTGGAGGAAGTGCTCGCATCGGACGGACACAGTTCGATCGGGTTCGGACATTAAACCTGTCCTAGCCGTCCGATTTATTGGACGGGCTTTATCCGGAGTTCATGTTATCGTTACGAGTTTTGAATCGTTCCATAAATCATTTTATTTTGACGAGGTTTAATTTATATATTTTTTTTTAGAGAAAGATATGTTTCAAAATGTACTAACTCTTTTACAGTGGATTTTGTGTACCATTACTAAAGTAATATAAAATGTGATGCGATAATTCTGAGATATAATAAACTTTGATCTAATCAATTTGTGTTGAAGTGTTTATCACATGACATCAATAAGTTTTGATTTCACAAAATTTACGTAAATCATTTAGTTTTTTTTTATTGGAACCATAAAATCCATTGACTAATTCTTTGTCCAATTAGATATGTTTTGCTTCGATCGTAGAATCATAAAATCCATTTATTATATTTTTTAATAATAAAAGAATAATTAATACAAATGTATTTTTTTACTAAATTAAATTAATTTTAATTTTTCCCCAAACAAAATGAACGGATTAATTTGACGGCTTTACTATTGTCCGGGTTGCAATAGGGATCGCAATTTTGCGACACGCCGGCCGTCTTTGGTCGAGCCCTCCGTGCGTCGCCATTTCAAAGTGAAACGAAGCCCCCGCCCGAAACCCACCCATTTCGGGTTCCCCTCCCCTCTCGTCGCGGGGCTCCTCGAAACCCTAAACACTGACCGCTCTCCCTTTCTTCTTCTACAAACGCTTGCTCTCTCGCTCGCCATCCCGGTCGCTAGAGATGTTCTCCCCCGCGGCAAGGAAACCCCATTTGGCTGCCACGCCCAGTCAGGGCCGGAACCACCCGGATTCCCCGTCGACGCCTCTCGACGAGACGCGCCCTTCCTTCCTCTCCTCCGCCTCTGTCCCTGGCCGTCCGACCACCGGCACCCCCGCGCCGTGGTCCTCTCGCCTTTCCGTCCTCGCCAGGTAGGCTCACTTTTGATTCATCCCTTAGGGTTGCTGTGGTATCCCTCGTTTAGGTCCTCGTGGTTCTTGTGGTTTCAAGATGTCGTACTTATTTTCCTGTTCCGGAATGTTCTCTAAGGATCTTATGGTATTTCTTGATCATTGGGGTTTTCCTGATGAGCGGATGACGAGACATGCCAAGTTCATTCTAGTTCCAGTTTCTAGAAATTTTTTCATAGTTCTGAATCTGCCACATCGAACTTCTAAGGCGAGCGAGACTGTGGAATTAGGTTTTATATTTCTCCTGTCCTGTCTCTGCTGTAATAATTTTCTTATTTGTAAACTTCTAGAGAAGATGAATTATGATGACAAAGTTTTGTTCAAATGAAGCGAAGGCTATTACTTAATATTAAAGAAAATCATTCACTACGAAGCATGTTTCGAGGATATGTACAGTTGCAGAAGATTGATTCGTGGGAGTTACTTTTGATGTGATATGTTTCACACCGACCGGGTGTGCTAGTTCCCTGAGATATTAGTTACTTCTTCCTTGATATCTCCACCTCTGCTTTTTTATTTTAATAATCCTATAAAAAAACTTCATTCTTCTTATTCATTAGCACTGTAAAAGGCCTTTTTTATTAGAGAAGAGTGTAGCAGGCTTGTTTTAGTAATATTAGTACATGTTTGCATGATTATGTAATGTCATTTATTACGATCTGTAATATCATAACATTTCATCAGATCTCCGTGCCGTGGGTCTAGTCCATATGCTTTGGCAAAAACACTATGATTTATTGTTTGCTACTGGTACTTTGCGTCATCTGGATGCAAAATTTTACCGGGAAAAATGGTGACCTCGATGACTTGATATTTGTCTCCGTGTTTGTATTTTTGTTCAGCTCCCTAGGTCCTTGAAATCTGCTTATGAAACCAAAAATGTGTGGCGTCAATGCATTGCACTCACAATGCTCACTCAAAATCTTTATTGAATTATCATAACCTTGAGAATCATCCAATACTTTCTCTTTCTTATTAAATGGGGCCAAGGATTTTGGGTAGTCTGCTTGAGATTTGTTTACTAATCCTCCATGTAACTTTTTGATCTTTTTGTTATCAACTTCAATAGTTTCTCGTGCGTGTTCTTGATGAGCTGATACGAGGCATATATGTCAGACTGGTAATATGATGAACACGAGGCATGCTATTAATCCTTTCCTAAATCTGGTAGATTTTTTGCACATTCATTTTTCAATAGCTATTTTGATATGGAGCTTCTTTTTGGGACCTTATTTAGTGAAATGTGCATAAGTGCATCATTCACTCCTCACTTTGGGTTGCTTGTTGAATACTTGCATTGTGGATATGCTTGCCACTTGTCTATGACCATTAAAATTAATGAGGTTGTAGGTGCATCTAGATGGAAAATTAGAGATGATCTAGTCCAAGTTATTTTACATGCATTGTTGTCAGTGTAGTAATATAAAGAAGCAAAATGTGACATGCTATAGATGCTTGTAGAGATTCACTCATGTCTGAATATTTCCCGTTTATGAAGGATTCTATTGCAGGAATTTTGGTTATGAACATAAATATCTGTTGACCACCCACAATCAGTCGATTCGATGTTCTTTTAAGTCCACGAGTAAAAACATCGGAACTTTTGGTTGTTTATGAGAACTGTTACAAAGGAGCATTTGCAAAAATACATATGGAGGAGAGGTACAAGCTTTTGTGTTCGAAGTCTTGAAGTGTTTTAGAAATCATTACTGTTCAGATAGTTCCATCCCAAGACTTGGCCAATCACTTTGTGTTTCCTTGTCATTTCTGTGATGCTGTACTTCATGCGGAACCTACTAGTGAAAAATTATTCGGTGACTTGCTACCTTCCTTTGCTGTTAAGCGATTCATGTAATGTGGTACTCCTATTTTAGCTTAGTTTTTATGATTTAAAAGTTTTTTACTTGAATGACTCAATAATTATGTTAGATTGTTTACATACGTGTGTGTTTCATATTTCTGTTATTTGAGCCCTTTTGAGTTTGTTAGACAGTTTATATGCAAATAATAGTTTCGCTTCTGAGATTCTGATCCTGCTAAATGGCCTGTTCTACGAGTTGATAATCTTATACTTCTACACCTAGAATTCCAATTGTAAAAGGAGCTGAGAAGGGTGGGAGTGGCAAGCAAATTCAACCGGTGTATGTGGGAGAATTTCCTCAGGTTGTTCGTAATGCTCAAGCCAGTCTTCTGAAGAAGGGTTTTGGTAAACTTAATTTTGTTTCCTAGTTTAGATTGTTGAATATGTATATATTTGCATGTTCAGAAATGCTCTTTAGGAAATTGATTTTTTCCTATTTCTTGCAGATAACAGTTTGGTTGCTGGCGGTATGGATAAAGAAACATCACTTGCTTGGATAATATGTGACACTCAGCTCTTTATATGGAGCTATTTGTCAGGCACGGTTCCAAAAAATTGTTTTGTGCTTGAGTTGCCATCTTCTGTGGTTGGAGATAGGATTGTCGGCGTGAAATACACAAATGGTCGAAATTGGATGCTTTGTGCTGTAAGATGGGATGTTTCTTCAAAAAAAGTATTTGAGCAGTGTAATTCTGCTGGCATCATCCTCTGTAACCAGGAGACTGGAGCTGTTGTGTATTGGCCTGACATTTACTCAGAAAGTTTGAATGTTCCAGTTGCTAGCCTTTCTGAACCACAATCAAAAGAAAGTGATATTTCTGCTAGACATGAAAGATATCACTCTTTTATTGTTTCTGCAATACCCGGTAGTTCTCAAGAATGTGTTGCTGTAGCTTGTCAGTCAACTGGAGGCCTATTTCTATTTAAATTCTCACCATCTGGAATACATTGCCAAATGGTTTTTCACAATGTTTTAGCTGTTAATTCTAATAGCTCTTCTCAGATGAATGAACTGTGTGCTAGGTCCCTGGTCTGGCATCCTCAGTATACTTCCTCAGATGATTCTGGTCGTCAGTTTTTCTTGCTGACAGATCATGAGATTCAATGTTGGAATATTGTTTTTATACCTAATATCAATGTTAAAAAACTCTGGAGTCATGAAATTGTTGGTAATGATGGTCATTTGGGTATTAAGAAGGATCTAGCAGGACAGAAGCAGATTTGGCTTTTGGATATGCAGTTGGATGACCGTGGGAAAGAATTTACTATTCTCGTTGCCACCTCCTGTAAAGATCGAGTGAGCAGTTCAAACTACATACAATATTCTCTTTTGACAATGCAATATAAACCAGGTTGTTCTACAAAGACCAGTTGGTCTACGAATGAAAGGCTTCTAGAGAAAAAGGCTCCCCTTCAGACTGTAATTCCCAAAGCAAGAGTTGAAGATAGGGGCTACTTGTTTTCTACAAGGATACGTGTTGGTGGCAAGCCATCTGGTTCTGTGATTATATTATCTGGAGATGGAACAGCTACTGTTACAAGCTATTGGAAAGGTTCCTCTCGGCTTTATCAGTTCGATTTACCATGGGATGGGGGAAAAGTTCTTGATGCTTCTGTTTTTCCTTCTATCGATGACAGTGAGGAAGGGGCATGGGTTGTCTTAACTGAAAAAGCAGGGGTTTGGGCAATACCTGAAAAGGCTGTTTTGCTTGGTGGCGTTGAG